TTTGAGGCTTTGTTTTCGAGAAAATCGACTTTGAATTTTTGCTCGGTACGCGTACACTTTATCACGTCTCATTATAACGGATCTCACTGTAGATCGTTGTCTCGTTTGACGTTATGTTGATAAACACTTCCAATGTGACCGAAGTGTTTTCCTACCTATTAACTTACTATTCGACTTTTATCGCTATCCACTATCAGTACCTATTAGTCTACCATCATGTCTACATACAGCAATCAGGAATATACTGACATGATACTTTTGCTAGGTGCGTGTAATGGTAATGCATCAGCCGCAGCTGATCATTACAGACACCGGTATCCCAATCGTCGACATCCTGGCAAACGTGTTATTCAAAGAGCAGAACGAACCCTCGACGAATATGATTCTTTTGAAAAACTTAGACGACATGGTGGTCGTCGACGACGCGGTAGTGTAAATGTTGAAGAGCAAATACTAAAGGACGTTTTGGAACATCCTGACATAAGTGCAAGAAAATCCTGACATAAGTGCAAGTGCAATGTTTTGGAACATCCTGACATAAGTGCAAGAAACCTTTCTTTGCGGTATAATCTCAGTTGCTTCACGATTCTTCGAATTCTACACGAAAACAACTTACATGCTTATCATATCACCAGAGTACAAGGACTCATGCCTCATGATAAGATTTCGTGAAAGGCATTTTGTCATTGGTTGCTTCAACAGCATGCCAACGATGCAGAATTTCTGTTAAAAATTTTATGGACCGATGAAGCGAAATTTACAAGGAACGGCATGTTCAATGTCCATAACATGCATAATTGGCAAAATGAGAATCCTCACTCTATTCTTGAAACACATTTTCAAGTAAGATGGAACGTAAACGTCTGGACTAGTATAATCGGACATCTAATTATTGGGCCATATTTTTTCGAAGGAAATGTAACGTTAGCAGCATATTTCGATTTCTTACAAAACAAACTACCGGAATTATTAGAAGATGTACCGCTGAGAACTAGAGAAAGTTTAATTTTTCAACAAGATGGTGCACCGCCACATTTTAGTCGTCATGTGAGAGATTTTTTAAACCAAGCAAACGTGTTATTCAAAGAGCAGAACGAACCCTCGACGAATATGATTCTTTTGAAAAACTTAGACGACATGGTGGTCGTCGACGACGCGTTAGTGTAAATGTTGAAGAGCAAATACTAAAGGACATCCTGACATAAGTGCAAGTGCAATGTTTTGGAACATCCTGACATAAGTGCAAGAAACATAATTGAAAGAAAAGATTATTGTAGCCTTTCATACTTTAAAACAATCGAATACGTTAGAAAGTGTTCATAGAAATTTAATTAGAAAAGCAGAAGTATGTGTTCGGCAGAATGGGCAACATTCTCAGCAATTTTTGTAATAATAAACTTTATGATTAGTTCATATTATTTCATTATGTATTCCTAATTTTCCGTTACGGCAAAAACAAACTTAAACTGCGATAATATCCATCGAGACAACGATCTACAGTGAGATCCGTTATAACGAGACGTGATAAAGTGCACGCGTACCGAGCGAAAATTCAAAGTCGATTTCCTCGAAAACAAAGCCTCAAACGAAAAATTTTTATTCTATATTTTCGACTTCTTTTTTCGCGTAGAATCACCCTCTTTCCGCTTGTACCACCAGTTACCAACCACACTGTATATCAAACTTTCATGTGAAAAATATTTGAAGCTGATTGTTTATGTTCCAAACATTGCAAATATTTGTTGAAGATAAAAACTAAAACTTATTCATTATATATATATATATATGATGCAATTTTCAAATGACTTCAAAGTGAAATGCAATAGATACTAGTATTGTGTTATCTTATCTCCTATAACGTCCCAGATAAGCTTTACAGTTAGGGCACCTGTGATGAATATCCATACATTCATCAATACAGCATGGAATTAAACAGCATCCCAACCAACATCTGTTGAAGATAATATACAAAATAGTAATATAATAAATTACTGAATAAATAAATTAAAATACTGAATTGGTAATTGAAAAATATTTTTGTAAATACCCCATTAATGCAATTACAACCCCAGATATATAGGCAATCATGCCAGGTTCTGTCTTTGTTGTAGTATCTATTTCTGCATGGCAATGTGAACAAATTGTATGTGTTGATCCTGGCCCCAGTGGAACAATTGTTGTTACTATAGTTGGTCCAGTTGTGTCTATAAAGAAATAATAAAGTTTTTAAATTTATTTTCTTAATTAATTAGTTAAATTGTAGAGTTCACTATAAAAAAATAAGAATGAGACATACAAGTTTCTGCAGATGTGAAAGGGCTAGCAGGTGGAACACCACCCATTGTTTGTGAATAACTAGGCGGTACATATGGAGGTGATTCATAAGGTGGTGGTGATCCATTATTATACATGATGTCTTATTTATAGTCTATCTATAATTAAACACAATTATGTAATTATGTATAAACGAATAACAATAGTAATAATCCATATTTTTAATCATACTTAGATGCAAATAATTCAAAATTTATATTGTATTTTAACAAGATGTAAATAAGAATAATTGTATATAATATATGTTATATTATATCTAATATGACATATTTTTGAAAATCACTTAGAAAATTAAATTATAGAAATATCATCACATAATCAAGTGTCCAATTACTAACAGAACAATTTTTACCTTATAAAATTATTAAAAATTATTAAATATACAATTTAAATACTACATTAAGTTACAAATTATAATTATTCGTTAAGAGAAATATCAATAATAATTGTATCTTAAATATCAATTAATTGATTGCGAATAATGTCAGGCTGACATTTCACTTTATTTGAGTTAATGTATGACAAGTCGTAATGATCTTTTGTTAATGTTTGTCTAATTACAAAGTACGCCATAGTTCTTCCTACCTTAGTAAAACAATTATAAATTAAACACTAATTATGTAAATAATGTATGAGTAATTTCTAAATATAGTCCATGTGTATAATTTTAATAGGTTTGAAGTGTAAACACGAAAAACGTAACAAATATTCTTATGCACATAGATATATAGATGGCAGGATAGAGGTTTCATGAACATTCCATTGAAATTAATATCTCTGCTAATATCGATTATTTAAAATTTTTCAATTAAAATATTGTTTTTTATTCTTTCTTTTATGTAAATTAATTTAATAAATAATGAATAAGGAATTTTTGACATATGTAAGATATGTACATAAGAAGGTGCTAATAATTTCTTCTACACATGTTTTATATATTTTTTCTATTGGTTGAATGCTTAATGTAAGTAAAGCAAACCGTACTATGTTCAACACAATACGATACATGCAATGTGGATAAGTCTTGAGAAATCAATATCATTTTATGGTGCATATCTATGTATATCTACATCATAGATCAGAACGTGGTATTTAATCTTGTTTGACACAATAAACAATCATTCGCTCAGTGTAAAGAACAGATGTTAGGTGGTTTTATGCATCATAAATTCTTAATTATCTAATTTAAATGAAAAATACTTTGAAGCATTAAAAGGTTATAGAAGAACATAAATTCTTAAATTTTATATTTTTTCTTATTGAAATTTTTTATATTAAATATTTGTTATTTGTAACAATACTCGTATCTCATTTTATATAATATAATGTTTTCAAATATTTTTTAACTTCTTATTTTTTTAGTTTTTGTAAAAATGAAGATATTGATCAGGTAATAGTTTAATTTTCTGTAATCAAGTATTAATGAACATATTTCTATATCAAATTTTTGTGGTTATTTTTGACAGAAGTATTTTTTAATAAAATTGCAAAATGGTGTTAAGTCGAAATGATAAAAGAAAAAGGAAAGAAGGAGATTTGGTGGATCTTATGGAGCCACTCTCCGAATCTCCAAAGAGGTAAATAAATAAACATTTTAACATAATTAATGAGTAATTTACTATAGACTATTTAATATACATTTTTTGTGCAATATATGAATCTAAAGATGTGCAAATATGTTTAAGATAATTATATTCTTTAAATGATTTAAAAGGGATTTTATTTAATTATGATATAATATAGCTTTTATTTTTATTATTTATTTTTTACATATATTGTTTATTGTAGGACCAAAGTACATGCACAAAGAAAATTTGCACAAGGTGCAACGACAGTTTTCAATCCTTCACATACTCCTATCAAGGATAAAGAAAAGACTAAACCAGCAGTTATAACAGAATTAATAACTCACAAACGACCAAATACAGAAGATTTCTTGACATTTTTGTGCTTTAGAGGTTTTTAAAATTTTACTTCATACTTAATTAATTTTATGTATCAATAATTAATTCGAATCTTTATATAGGAACTCCAATTTTACCTCCAAGCTTAAATTTTTTCAATGTTGGAAGTAAAAAGGAAAAGCCAGATACTAAGCCAGCACGTATAGCAACAGATAAAACTATATCTTCAACTAGTACATCTATTGAAAATCAAAAACCAGATTCAAGTCAGAAAAGTATCACAAAAGTGAAACCTATTATTACTGACAAGAAGAAAGTCTCAAATACAATACAGAAAAATATTACAACATTTAAAAGTACTACATCTACAGTACAAGCACTCAAAAAGAAATATCAAGAACAGCGTCTTGCTAAACAAAGAATCAAAAATAAATTTAAAACATCATGTGTTATGAGAACAAGATCTTGTACAGAACGAACGTTATTAAAATCTGTAAACAAATTAGCACCCAGAAAATTTTTACCAAGAGTTGAAACTAAGAGACTTGGTTTACGAAGTAGTGTGCTTGCAGATAAAACAAAAACAGGTCCTTCAAAAGTTAAACCTGTACCATCTAAACCAAAGAAGAAAGTTATAGTAAAACAAAAGAATAGTGATACATCAAATTCTGATTCTACATCTGAAGAAGAAGAAGAAGGTCCCTTGGAAAAATCAGTTCCACAGATGAAACGTACAATTCAAAAGGCTGTGCAAAAAAACATATGTACAAGAAGTAAATCTGAAATGAGAAGAATTACACGTTCTCATAGTGGCACAATTTCCCCAAAAAATCTTTGTAGGAGACCAACAAGGAAAACTAAAGAAGCAGCTGCTGTATATATGGAAATTCTTGGACGGAAACTCGTAAGTCCTGATTTAGAAAATGATGATAATGTTTCTATGGACAGTTTTCCAGAATTACCAAATACACGTAAAACTACTCAACCAGAAAATGAAATCAAAACTAAAGTAAAACAATCTGTTACAAAAACAACTGCTAAAAATAAAGATAATAAGATTACTTCTATTCATAATACATCAAATAAACGATTGGATAAGACCAAAACTAATAAAATTGCTTTTAAAAGTAAAAGATTAATAAGAGTTCACAAGTATTGTGAAATTGATAGTGATGAAGAATCTGTAAGTTCTAATGCCACTAGCAATACAAGACCTGTTACAAGAAGAAGTTTAGGAAAATTAAATAAACCTGTAAGTCGATA